GTGTGTGTGTGTGTGTGTGTGTGTGTGTGTGTGTATATATATATATATATACATTATTACTATTTACAAATAAATATTTAGATTTCAGTTATTTTTCTTGAACATAGAACAGTGAATAAAAAATATTTGGAAAAGAATGATCTCCACCACTTACAATGTTTTGAAGTTCTCTTTTGCACTCGTGAGTCATACTTGCTAACCCTCGTCGTAACCCTTGTTCAAATTCACATGTCGATGTAGAAAAAATTATTTTTGTAGCCTTTATATGTACATTTTTGAATATCAAAAGCTATAAATGACTATATTGATACCACAAAAACCTATTGCAATTTTCCAAGCTTCCTAACTATACTTATTTGGGTCTAAAAAAATATAATTTCTGTTCGGAAAATAGCATTGATCATAACACTTCAAACTCTCCAACAATATAAGAGCTTTTTTCTTGTAAATAACTTACAAATACTAACAGAATTTCGTAGAGGAAATGTAGAGCTTTCGACTGGTTATAAACTTATAGATATAAAAAGGCAGGCATAGATAAACAAGTCTTCTCATATGATGAAGTGGTGAGCAGAGCCAACATGGTGGATTCAATAAATATCATGATATCTCAGCAAATAGAAATGGAGGAGGTTCTTATTTTATATTCTAGCTTACCAATATCAGAAATTTGTATAAAACTATAGATACTGTATTGCGGGTGTCATAAAATTTAATTTGACCATACCCAGAAAATGACGTACCAGTGTCACACACAAAAATCGAGATTTAGCCATTTTGTTTTATATTTACTTTCAAATTAAAAAATTAACTAACATATAATACTAAAATTTGATACTAAGTTTATTAACATACATTCATAAAATAATAGTTCAATAACATTTTGAATGTAAGTCTACAAACGTGATGACATGACCTACGACCCCTAGCTACCCATAATGATAGGGTTAAGAAGCTTTTGACAACATAAGCTTCTTAAAAAGCCAAATTTGATTTAATTAAAAAATTAACTCAATACATAATGACTGCCAAAAATGAATACACATGAAGTAAATACCTTATAATGATCAGAAGTTATAATTTTCCTTTTTTCCTATACTGAAAATGTATTTCCAATAGGTACTTACCTCACCTCACATATATAGCTATTCTCATTCAGTGCTGCCTTCTATAAGCTAAAAATGTTTTTCGCATGCCATAAGCTTTGCCCTCCCACATATCCCATGATAATCATGGTTTAACTGCGTCTCGCATCTAAATCATCATGCGACAACTCTCCACCAACAGGAGTGTGACACACCCTCCTGACACACGCGACTCCCTCTATTCAATTATACTAAACATTGCTTTGAGTTTAGGCAGAAAAAGAAGCACCAGTTTTCAGTGGGGAGGAAGAATGAGAAGTGTGTGAGAAAGTATGTACCTTTCGGAAATACATTTTCAGTATAGGAAACATTACAGCTTCCGATATGGTACATTACCTCCTCTCACATATATAGATAGAATCCCACATTGAATAGGTGGAGGGACTGGTGCAAGGGATAGAAATAAGCCTCCTTTGAAAGTGTCCAAAGAACACTCCAATATTGTGATCTCCATAGTAGAGGATCATATGTGGGAGACCACACCACTTCTGTACCAGGTATACCCTACTCCCAGTGTGGAAAGAGATGTTGTATACATGGGCAGAAGAAAGGGAGTGAAAAATGGTTGGACTGGAATCCGGACCATAGTATATCGTAATCTCAATCCCATTGAAGAAAGATCATAGAAGAAACATCTACAGACAGTAATGTGGGGAAAGCTAAAATGGATGTGCTCCAAGGTGTAGAGTGGCTAGGCCACAACAAACCTTACATAGCAGATCAACTCCAATCAGTATCAGGAATATAACCTCCAATCCATGGTAGGATGAGGGTCCACATTGTCTTCACCAGAAGTCCAGTAAATCTGAAGTATATACTGTGCAAACCAATCTACAAACTGGGTACATGTGCATAAATCCACAACTACCCATACATCCAGGAACCCAACATCTGAATGATGGCAATAAGAGATGTACCCATGTGGCAGGTCACATCAAACTCAAACAGACTGGCACTCCACTGTGCAACATCATCCACAAAACTCCTTGAGGTGGTGCGCAATAGGGAGAACCATCACCTGATTCAACATTATCCTCCAGATAAGACTGCACAGACGTCTGAGCAGAAAACCATCCCCCTGGTCCAACCTCAAACAAAAAGTGGATGGCCTGCAATTAAAAATATAACTATCTCACCCTCTGGATAGAACAGCACAGAAGATAGCACAACATCCACCTTTGGGACCCAACCTAATGGAGTTGTTAATAATGATGCAAATTGAGTGAGGAAGAGGAAATACAAGAAACACGTGTAAGGACTTATGTTGATTGGTCCTGCTCTAAATCCAAATCCAGCCATCAGGAACTGATATCCATGTGATGATAAGATGAGGGATCCCAATCAAAGGGGTTAATTGCAATGTGACAAATAAACTCCAAAGCAAAATCATATCCCGGATAGGACTGCACAAAGGTTGGAGAGCCATAGCAACCTCTGTGTCCTACAGCATGGAAGCAGATTGCATCCAGATAGAACTTCACAGAATCCATGCACAATATCAACCTCCTGGATCCACCACACTGAGATGAAGCATATCTATTAGTAGACATGTGCAACATCATCCCCTTGGAGAGGACCATACAAAATTGGAGGGCATTGCAAATTCCAGGTCCCACCGCACAAAAGTGAATTGCCTTAACCACACCCTCTGGATAGAACTGTACAGAAGCTGGGCACAACATGAACAGTCAGAGCCCATCATACAGAGATGGAGCACACTATTGGAGAACCACACACACTATCTACACCAGCAGAACACCACCACCCTACTCTATACTGAATGGATTTTTAAGTTTTTGTTTATTATTGTATGATCACATTCAAGAGAATACCTCCATGGTCCACCATCCCAGTGACTTGGAACTGGAAAGTGGCAAGGACTCTTATACTCCACTAGAACAAGGGGGGATAAAATGCAGTGGAGAGTCCAGAGAAATACCAGAGACAGTGCAACAGGTAATCATAAAAACTATTTTGAAAAGCAGACCACCCCTGATTTATTCAACTGAAAGGATGGCAGGGATGGGCAGCTATCCCCTTCTTCTTTACCCATGTACATATGGGTTAGTACAGTCCGGAATGGGCACATTAATGAAGCAAATATATCACAATGAAAAAACCTACCAGTGATCTTGTGGAACACCTCATGTCAACATTGTGCATTATTATTATTTGCTATGGGTATATTGTGTTTTATGATTTCATCATGGGCATACAGTATGGATTTGAGATATATTAAATATACCTGGATAGGCAATGCTCACCACAGAGTGGGATCCTTATTGAAAAAAGAACATGCCACTGAAAGAAATTAAAATGTATATTAAAAAGAAAATGTACCCAGTCACAGCTTCATCCAAATTCATAGGATGGCAACAAGTGGAAGGTGATACCCTGATGAAGAATAAACAGCTACCCAACGAAGATAGTGGGAGATGAATGTATGAGGTGTAATCCACAAGCCCAACTGAAAAATTTCCACCAACGTGTGACAGAGGTGAGATGCCAGGAAAAAGGTAAGGTGCCTGATCTGATGCGACAACACCTGGAACACAGTTCAGGAAGAAGAAGACAAGGATGAATAAGCCAATCAAATCAAAAGCCAAATCCAATTGGTAAGGAAGGAAGGAGATAGGTCACAAACAGTGGAATTTGCCAAGGAATGAAAGGGTGGGAAGGGGAACCATGGAAGGAAGCTATTCAAGCAATGTAACAAAGAAGAGCATGTATGGGACATAGAAGACTATCCAGATCACACTGGGATTAAATGTGAGAGATGGAAGAAAGCAAAATCGTCAAGAAGGAAGAATTCCCCTCATGAGCCATGGAAGTTGTGGGAAGGAAATATCTATCCGGATAACTGAGAATATAGGTGGAATGGTATAGAGTGTGTGAAATGTCGATGGCATATATATCAGACCGATGATGCCCACAATCTAACAGGAGTAAGAAATAAGTCATAAGTGACAAATGAAACTAAGAACAAGAGGACAAAGGTTCAAACAAAGATAGAGTAAGGCAGTGAAGAACCCACCCAATGAGGAGGTTTATGAATTCGGAGGGTACACAACAAAAGGGAGAGGGTAGGGGAGGTAAACACTAAATAGTACTGAGAAAAATGGAAGATGTATGATAAGAATGCTTCATAACCAAACCATAATAAGAGAAACTGTGGGTTGAGAAGGGGAAAACCACAACTCAAGGACCAATGGCGGAAGACATTCCATTCACAATGATAGAGTGCTAATGAGGAAGGGCGAATGGAACATGCTAAAAAGGAAGTGATTCACTGAGACAATCCAGATCTTCTCACAAAGAACCTGATAAATGCTAGGCACAAAGATAAAGGGTAGGAAAAGTGGGATGAATTACTGGTGAATGAGGTTGATACAGAAGGGATAGAGTGAAAGGAATAACTAAGGAAGAGGCAGTTTGGAGCCAAAGTAGACGAGAATACCATGGTTGTTTCAGCCAGTAAGAAGCAATCAGAAGGACCTGACATGGAGTGGCATGGATGATTAAAATCAACTGGAGAATAAGTTGCATGAGAGGATAAACATAGAGGTACTGCTTGGTCCAGTCCTGGCTAAATGCATCGACAGCTAGGACATGTGGATGAATAATCAGAGACGAAAAAATAGGTAACTTAGGATTGAGGAAAGTGGAAAATGCTTTCAGATGAGAAATACCCTACTGGGAGCATAGCCACTGGAAAACCTGATGAACTAGAGGCCACTTAATGGAATAAATTTTGTCTGAAAAGGCAATCTGCTATAAAGTTGAAAGAATCTGGAACATGACACACAAGGAGACACATCACAAATGTGTAGGCCCAAAAAGAAGATCCAAGGTTTGACCTCAAAAGAAACGAGAACAGGTGCCCCTTTGATGATTGATACAAGCCACCGCCATAGAATTTTTGGAATGGATCATTCCTTACAAAGAGAATAAAGTGATCTAAATCATGTTGTACTGCCACAAGCTCCAAGATGTTGAGATAGTATGACCTCTAAGCAATAGAACCTAGTAAGCAGGAAGAGAGGGAGCAGCAAAAGCATGGAGAAAAAACTGAAAGCTCCATCAAACACAGTTGAAGAGGAGAAGGTTGGGCCATACTGAGGTGGGTGTTGAAAAAAAAAAACACCTATGTGTCAAAAGTAGATAAGTGTGTTGTGAATGACTAGTTTGGAATGGGCTAACAAAAGCCAGTAATGGTTCTAGCACAACCCCCAAAGTGCAAGGTATAAAAGTGATACACAACCTTTTGGTGGACAAACCAAGGATAACATCTTAACTGAAGAGAAAAAGGAATATGGAGATAAGCATTCAAGATGCCCATTTGGTCATCCACAGTCCTGGAAAAATAGCCCACCTTAGTGTTTTTACACTCCATGGTAAAATGGGGAAGATCCAAAAATCAGTTGAGATGGGATAGATTGATAACAAAATGCCATCCCCCAGTTTCCTTGGGCACCACAAACAACCTGGAGTAAATACTTGAGAAATGATGGCTGACAAGCTTGATAGCTCTCTGTAATAGAAGAGAATGTACTGCCTCAGACAGACATCAACTGGTAGCAAGTTGCAGAAGTAACAGAAAGGATACGGGTACTGGAGACAATGGGAGAGGAGGGGGAATGGATGAAGAGCCCTTCGAACAAAACCTTCGGATAACCCAAGGATCAGCAGTGAATTCCTGCCATAGGGTAACAAAATTGGCCAACTGAGCCACTACCAGACCAGAACCCACAGGATAGTCACCACTACTGCTGGCACTGATGAAACCTACATAATAAAATATGACAAATGGTGGAACACCTAATGATAGGAACAGGTAAATAACAGGAGGGTGCAGGATGTGGAACAGTAACAGAGGATTGCAAGGGCTTAGAATAAGACAAGTGAGCAACCCAGGATGAAAGGGTCGAATGTTGCCTCACAGATTCCAAATTCTCAGGAATATCCCCCAAAACAGACCAATGAAGAAAAGGAGCCATCTGCAAGTCTCAAAGATAAGTGGATAGTAAACCAAACTGGGACAGGACAGCATCCCTCCCCACAAGATCCCAACAGCAAAGAAATGATGTGTGAAAGGAGAGAGACAAAGAGGATAATCGTGCCAATATGAAGGTTATGAGGGAGAATGGATCCCCCAAAATCCCTCAGGATTACAGTGGAGTACCTCAAAAAGGAGATGCATTGTGGAAAAGTACTGTAAGAGTATGGAATAAATGGATAGGATTGTCAGAGTCAGCCTCCCATACAGACAAAAGTGATTCTGACTGCTGAGAATCAAGAAAAGGGTAATCTGCCTGATGGTAAGTCAAGGGAAAACAATCCAAGGCCAGTGGAGGATGAGGCATACTAGCACCCACTTGCAACTGAGAAACAAAATGCTCAGCATGAACCCTGATATCAGGAGATGGAGGGAAAACAAAATACTGTGAGGAAGGATGTAATGTAATAAGAAAGGAATGGGATTGTAAAACATTGTGGGAAATTAATAAAATGGAACACACCTGAAAACTCATGTCTAAAAATGCTGAGTTAGGCCTAGCAAATTCTGCAATAAAGGCTTGGGAAGGCATGGCATAGTAAGGTGGAGATAAAAAGCTGTCAAAATCCTCATCATCATGAACAGGTTCAGCAGATTCAGGAGGAAGTCTAGCAATATTTGGAGAAGAAGATCGACTCACATGATGATCAATTTCCTGACAAGTGAAAGCCAAAAATTCCTCAGTTGAGTTTCCCTGACCTGAAGACTGTGTAAATGTGCTGTAAGTAGGTAACATGAACTTTGGAATTCATAATGTCGTGATAAGAATTGGAGGAAAAAAAAGAGCAAACACGTGAAGAGAGTACAATCAAAAAACGTCTGCACTAGAACACTGCCTAAGGAGAAGTAATAGTTTGGTAGAATAGAGGGAGTCGTGCATCAGGAGGGTGTCACACTCCTATTGGTGGAGGGTTGTCACATGATGATCTAAATGCGAGATGAAGTTGAACCACAATGATCATGGGGTATATGGAATCGCAAGGCTTGTGGCATCTGAAAAAAAATTTTGAATATAGAGGGCAGCATTGAAGAATAATAGCTACGTATTTGAGAGGAGGTAAGGTACCATATTGGAAAATCCTTGTGACTTCTATGCACAAATAGTCTGCTCTAAACATAGCTGTATTTGTATCTATTCAAGTGCTTATAACTCAAAGAAAGATAAAAATTTGGCAGCTATTCCCAATTAAATCAAGAGCACTCACTCTTCATCCTGCTCCTGGAATACATGTAATTAAATTGAAGATGCTGTACTGATACAGTAGATCCAGCTAAAAGGCAAAGCAAATCAACCAGAATCAAACAGGAGTGAATGAAGTTTCATAAGTGCACACTTGAATAGCAAACTTTTAGGCAAAGATGTATGAGGCAGTTTTTTTTTTTACTGACATGGATCAAAACACTGATGTTCTGAGGACAATTCTCAGTATATGATATGCCAGGATGTAAACTAATTAAAGCATTGATTAGTACATCTTTAATACTGTATTGACCCAATTATAAGGAAATGTTTTCTGAATAATAATTAGGCTGTAAAATTCATAGTTGCCTTATAATCACAACTGACCACAGGCGCCTTCTCCCTACTCTAGCCTATCACATTCCTGAATGTCCAGATAGCATCCATCTACACGTGCACACCAGATGTTTACTCAAGGTCATTGCTAATTCTTGCAACTAATCCACCTGCAGGCTATTCAGTTATAGTGCTGATTTTGCAGACCTAAAAAAGGATGTTATGAGACTCAGTTTTTTTCTTTCCCATGGTTTCTGAAAATGGGGATCACCTTATATTTGAGATTACCCTATAATCAGGCCATTATGGTATTTTAAATATTTCATAATTCAATATACATTATCATTTCTGTTTACTTAGTGAATACATTATAAATATAGTTGTAACTGAAAAAAAGCATGTCCAAAATTATTTATTTTTCTACAGTGACCTTGCATAGATTTTGTTCTAAAGTAAGCAATAATACATTGTATTCCAATTTAGGAATGTAAACCTTAATCACGATCTCACTGTTATGTATTCAGAAACAGTTCTTTATGACAGGCAAAAATTATGTTTTTATTACGAACTGCATGATGTATTTAAAATACATCTTGAAAACAAACCATTTGAGTACAGATTTTTGAAGTCTTAAGAGGTAAAACGTAACTATAATAATAAGGTGTATTAAATCTGAAGCATGATAGATTTTTTTAAATTCTAATATAGAGGGCTATATTTTACAAAATACAAATGCCAATGTTCAGAGAAACAAAACACTTTTAATAATATAACATTTTATATATAATTATTTCACAGTTTTAATGACAGAATTTTTATTTCTAGCTTTCTTAAAATATATCTTACTTAGCATTACAAAATAGTGATACACTGTTGAATACTACTTACATTGTATTGTAAAGATTCAAACTACCAAATTTCAGTTTCAAACAACACAGTGTTAAACTTGAAGAACAAAAGTCATTATTCCAATGCAGTCTTTTTCTTGAAGAAAAGATCTGAGCTAGATAAATAAGTTGATAATTTGGTGAGACTATGTTGAAAATATTTAGTATTTGCTATTACAGGCATTCTTCATCATTTTTCGACATTTAAATGGTAGAGATATAACATATAATAATGTTTTGGCTGGACATGAGATACATAATTAATATCAACATAATTTACATATCTATTAAGAAAACATCATTATTGTCCCAGGCTGCTAGAAACTATGGGGCATGGTACAACTAATTTTGAACTAAATATGAACATTTTTGAAAAAGTGTACAAATTACAAAGCAAGTGTGATGCAGCAACAATACTTCAACAAAAGGATTATATAACCACTCCAGATGGATACATATAACTGTGTTGGTACTAACTGGTGTCTACAAATGCTAACAGTATTTTTCTATGTCAAAAAGATATTCTATGAACACTGGTCTTGAGTTAACAGGTCTAATGTTTATTTAAATTAGTATGTCCTAAAATATATGCAAGTTGTGTGATGTGAGCAGGTCTTGTCTTAGCAACAGTCAGTAAACAAGCCATGTACACACCTGTTACTTGCAGGTGCACTCAGTGGTATGAAGAGGGATTCTGTGATAACATCTGTACTGACTGATGATCATGAGAGATTTAAAATGCAAAATGAATCCTGAATGGGATTATTTTGAAGTAACCAGCAATTTTAAAGTGACGTGCAAACTTTGTGGCATGTTAATCCTATGTGCAGGAGTGGGAGTCAAAGTGTACATGCCACAACCCTTTACAAAGTACCATTCAACAAATATGTGTTTGATATTCATTTTATTCTACAATGTTGATTTGGCAACAGTTCATGGTAGAAGGGAGTAAATACCAAAAAAAAGATATATAGAGACACTGAAAAAACTGTAGATATGCATTTTGGAGGTTACGCAAATACAATATGCAAACTTTATGAATGACAAAAAAAAAAGTTTTTTTTTTTTTATTCTTCACATGGATATCACCTTGCACTACAATTTGTCAGAATCAGATTGATGTCAATTCACAGACATATCTCAAGTACAAATACTTTTGTAACATATATGATTATTTTGTATGCAACACTTATACATTTCACTAAAAACTTGCCATATTTTGTATATACACACATTAGAAATTCATAATCATGGTCAATATTCTCCTACCACAGAGTGTAATCACCTGAAACAATGCATACTAAAGATTACAAGATTTTGCAGTAAACTTAAAAGTCTATTGGATCTAAGATTCAAGATGAGAGTGGTCTCATGTTTGAAGGTAATCACCACACAAACTGCTCAGGAATGCTACCAAACAAAACTAATACAAACTATGCGACATTAACGATCACCATAATTAAAAGTTATGTACTATAATCACTGAAATTATTGTACTGGACAACCAGCTGTGTTACTGATGAAACAATAAAAGAATCAAAGTCTATGGTCCTTTCAGTTTGACGTGTGTGGTCACACATTCACGCATAAGCACGTGTGCAAATCTAATTACACATGCTATTTGTTTTACTCGTGAAAGGCTATATTCAGTAACACATCACATTATACTTTTACATACTCCTGAGGAAAGCAGAAACATATTATCTAAGAAAATGCATTAACCAGCATAGTAAAAGATCTTTAGTTTGTTGTGATCATTCACGAAGCAAACAGAGAAGATGGCAACCAATGGAAATAAAGTTGAATTGAAAATGTTTCAGTTATGGGAAGTCAGATATTAATGGATACAAACTGTAGAAAGAGAAGAGAGAACATGCATGAAAATTCTGAGAGTTCGGACAAGAATCTTGTAGAAAGCAAGTAAGAAAATCAAAATTAAAACAAACCTTTTGAACATATTAGTGTTGTGTACTTTTTTTTTATGGCTTTGATAAAATCATAACTTTATTAATATACTGCAAATAATCGTAACATTAAAAAATAAATGTTTTCTTGCTATTTCCCTGTCATAATGCATCACTTTAAACACCCACATAACTTGGATGTGCAAATTCATGAATCACTGGTTTTTCTCATGAAACACCTATACAGACATAATACAAAGTACCAAGCAAAACACTTGTTTCTTCAAATATTATGTAAAGCTTTAATAGTGCTAAATTATCACATGAATCATGTTTCTTCTGCACATTACAGCTTGTTATCATAACACTGATCTCATAACACTATAAAAAGATTAAGTCACTTTTACCACTTGTCTCTAGTATATTTAAAATTAGTATCTACATAAATGCTTTAACAAATATATACCTCAAAAAAATTTGCACACAACAAGGTGGAATTCAAGATATCGTTTCTTTGAAAGGTTTCTAGAACACAAGAGAGCAATGTACATCTGTATACTGTGGTTGGAAATACTGTCCCAAGTTGTTGCTCATTTGACATAATAATAAAAATATAAATTGCTCATGCTTTTTTCCACATTCCTCTTAACTTGTCCATGTTTAACACAAATGTTAAGCCTATTAGCTTCTAATTCTTCACAAGATTTTAGCATTTTAACATTTATCTTTAACAATAAAATCATTTTTTGTATTATAGAGTGGCCATTAGCAGTGAGGTACTGCAAGCTCTTTTAATCCAAACACTCATGGCATAACTACACATTTCAACCCAAATCAAGTTTCACTTAACGTTTATGAAGTAATTAAAATAAAAACACTGTTACATGTAATTCAGTTGAGTTTTGGTATTCAAAAAGATTTGAAAATGAAACACGACACAGAAGGTTTATAGAAATAAATAGGATATATATACACATTTATTAACATAAAACAGTTATGACACACAGTGACATTACTTTTAGAGAGTATTATTTAATTTCTTAGTTCATATTGGTGTATAAAGGACATTTTAATACTAGTAATAAATGACCTTATAACAAAACCTTTGAAACAAATATAGCAGATGTGAGGAAAAAGGTCAGAAATATTTTGCAAAGACAAACATTATCAGGTCCAGTCTAACTTACATCCCCAAGAACAATAAGCCTTTAAGAAGCTTAAAAAAAGATAACATCCTCATCAAAGAATCAGACAAATACAGAGGTTTTGTATTTATAAGCATAAACATTTAAGAAAAAAATATATTTGACCACCTTAAAGACAAGAACAAATTTCAAATATATAACAGTGACCTCATAAAAAAAAAAAACTGATATGAAAGCTAGAGAGATTACTTATGGAATTATAAAAACAAGTAACCTCCCTAAGAAGCTTCTAGATGAACTTAAACCCTCTAATAACCATATTCCAGAAATATACAGTTTACCAAAAGAACATAATTGGATAAACCACAAAGACTCATAGTCTCAGCTTATGTCAGTGCCACTGAAAGTCTGGTCTCATTTATGCACACAGTTGTAATGCCAAATTATATTCCAGCACACTTGAATAATACACAAGACCTTCTATCACAAATCAAAGATGTATCTCACATAATAAAAAACACAAGAATACTCTTTACATTAGACATTCTAGATCTCTACCCATCTAAACAGACAGACAATGGCATCAACGCAGTATGTACATTCACATCGAATCATATAAACAATATGGAGATGTACAGACTGGAGATGTACAGATGTACAGACAATAGATAATGTTAGAGAAATCTTACATTTCATTCTTCACAATACATATTTTCATTTTGACAACAAACTAAAGCTCCAACTAAGTGGCATCACAATGGGTATTAAAGTAACTGTTATTTATGCTGTAATACTTATGTAAATGGTTGAAACAACAGTACTTGAAAAGTGGTATCAAGATAACAACACCAGCCCTGATCTCTGGCTTAGATGCATTGATGACATGTTTGGACTATGGAACCATGGCCTTCTTTCTTTCTAAATTCCATAGACCGTAACATCCAATTCACCCTGAATCAATCGATTGACAAGAAGAGTAAAGATATTCTTGAAGTTACCTTAAGGATCGATAATGATGAAGCTATACAATCTACCTTGTTTCACAAACTAATTAGAAAACCTCTTTTTATTAACTTAACTTCCATCATCAAAATGTTTCTAAAAATGATGCAATTATTAAAAAATAAATTGATTGTAATTATAGCAAAAAAAAACAACACACTGAACTAAAATCACTACTTTTGAGCAATGAAAATCCAACTTTCTTACATCAAACAAATTTTGAAGGATCATGACATGCAAAATTTAGCATCACACCTCAAACATGAAAATAACAGACTAAGAGGTAAAAAAAAATTATAAATGTAACACATACAAAAAAAAAGACTGCTTTTACAGAATCTCTAACTGATGAAGCTATCTCCAAGACAATAGAAACTGTCATTAGAAAACCTGAACTGCTGATTACAGTTATAGAAGGGCCTGGTCCAACCCTCAAAAGCTAACTTACAAAATCTCAGTACACTACCCTAGAATGTAATAAAGCCATCTGTCTTACAAAAATGTGTTTGCAATTTAAAGATGGATGTTTTTGTCTCCAATGTTGTTTACTAACTAACATGTGACATCTGCCACCGTATATACAATTTAAGAAACCAGAAGAACCCTACACACAAGGATAGGAGAACATATGGACTCTGTTCATAAACAAAAGTATGAAAAAAAGCACAACTGCAGATCATGTTTTTAACTAATCGTGTACAAATAACAACTGGTATACATCAACCATTCTCTGTACAAATCCTTAATAAAGCCACAAAGTACACTGACAGAAAACTTAATAAATCTTTTTCATCAAACAACTGTGAACACAAATGATAAGGGACATAGGATGACATTTATAGTTATGTATTTTATTTTTTTATCTTAACTTTCATCTCAATCTGTAATATAGATAGAAATTTTGTTTACTACAAATAGCAGTTTATTATTTCAACAATAAAATTCTTTCAACAAAAGCTTTACTACTTAGTATTCAAATGCATGCTGTAGAAATGCACAATACAAATTCAAATAGAATTTATTAACTAAACCAGTTGAAACTTTGTACAGTCTTTTATGGTTTGTGTTTTAGCAGAAGACTCCTGAAGAAGCTGTAAAGTGAAATGTTCATTCTCCAATTAAAGAAAAATAACAAATTTGGTGTTATAAGATTGTTTGGGTGCTACTATAACGCGTGATCTAAAAGATATTTACACTATAGCGTGCGGTCTACACAGATACTATCATCATCACCATTTTAACTTTCATTTATTTGTAATTGGTGCCAGTTATTATAAATAACACTTTTAAACTAATAAAATACAAAACACCATTACATAACAATTTGAGGCAAATATAGTTGGAATGAAATAAATTCCAACAATCAAAACTAACACAACTGGAACCTAAATATAATGTACTCTTTTGGAACACACAACTTATTAAGTTATTATTATTTACTGAACAAAAACGTGGCTAGATATAAATTAATTAGCAAGAAATTATGTTTTACTGAATCATTAAAACGGTGATGATGATAGTATCTGTGTAGACTGCATGCTATAGTGTAAATATCTTTGAAGACTGCATGCTATAGAAACACCATTGTTTGTTACTAGTATTTTAGAGGATATTGAATTTGCTTGTAGTGAAAAAAATAACTAGCATTCATTTTCTAGTGTCTTCAAGTGTTATTGTCGAGACCTGCACTTGTATAACATTTATTTTAAAAAATGCAATTTTCAAGGAACTTTGTAACTATATTCAAAATGCTGCCCATATAATGGTCAAATCTTGTACATATGCTTTTGTTCTAAGCTTCGTGATGTAATGAAGAGTGCTAGCTCAAAAGGTCATCCTCTAGAATTAAATGTAAAAAAATTAACCTATTCATTTTTTTTTCAGTTTTGGTCTCTTTATCTAAGAAAGAATAATGAATTATTTAGATACATTCTTAAGACTGCAAGGACTATTTTGGAAATATAAAAGTTATATGTATATATCTCTTGAGTTATTTTTTCTTAAGGCTAAAAAGTGAACTTCTTGAAGTTTACAAAAGCATCCAGGGAACAATAATTGAGTCTGACAATTAATTCAATAACCCATGAGCATCAATTACGTTAATTAATGTTATGCAAAATATTCAATTAATCCAAACTTTGATTAAATTGACTGTCATGAAAATAATCAATTAATCAAAATTAGTGATTAATATTATTACTGTTCTCAATTATTACAACTATCCAAGTGATATAATACTGCTATTACAATTTCTAATTAATGCTTGATTAATCAAGGTTATTCAGCTTAGTTAGTCATTGTCATAAAAATAACCATATATCCAAGTCTCACTGAGAATAATTAATTAGTAAATTCCATTAATCACCCAGCTTCACACAGTTTGAAATGTATCATAAAATCTTATAAAAATATAAAAAAATGTCCTACAATAATATTTATACAGGTTAGATTAGGTCACAAGATAGCCAAGCCTCAGAATATAAGATCTAATGGTTTAATTATTAGAATATTAGGTTGAAATGACATCACACAGAGAAAACAAATGTCTCCTAAAACTTTTATCTTATAATAATGCATTTTTTAAAACTACAACAAATTACAAACCCATAATAAGTACAAATTAAGCCACCTGATGTGTAACTTTCAGAATCTTGTAAACTCTTTTTTTTGGTATTCACTCCCCAGGTTTCTGCAACATTTCCACAGCCTCCCTGCCCTCTTAATGGACATGGCCTTCTCTAATTTAAACTGATAAGACTACAGGGAAGCTCAAACATATGTTTGATACTTTTCACTGTGATACATGTCCAGCTATCTCTCTTTGGTTAACTTGTGTTCAGGGTTGTTGATGAGGAGTGGAGTTTACTAAAACTAGTATAACCCAATAACACAAGTTGACCAAAGTGTAGATTGAACTGGACCTCCCTTGAAGTTAGAGATTAAACAATTTTTGGAATACAGTTTATTTATTACAGGGAAGCTACCAAAAATACAATTGAAGTCCAATCTATCATTGAATTTACCACTTCTTAATGAGTTATACTGATTTCAAGGAATCCAACCCCTTATCAATAGCCCACAAAAAGGACAAATAAGAAAAACCAAGACTAGGTTTCTTATAGTTCTGAACTCTATAGGAATGGTGTCTTTAGTTGTCTTTTACTCACCACAATGAACACACATCTATATAGTTTTTAAAGAATGTATAGCATAACCAAGAAATTGGTAAATTGTACCTTGAATATGCATTGTTAAACCTATCGCTATTATTCTGAAGATATGTTAATTATGTTGCTAGTGATAAGAAAAATATGATTTTAAGTTATATTTACAGAAATATTTAATGTAAGTCTATAAAGATTATAATTTCATTGAATAAGTCATTGGTTGTGCCTCATATGGAATGCTGTATTCATTCTTGGGCTCCTTCCTTTAAGAGTACTGAACTGTTAGAAAGAGTTCAAAGGTGGGCTGTTAGGATGATACTCGAGATGGAAAAGTTGTCATATGAGGAGAGGTTAAGTTTGTTTATTTGTTTTTGAATTCTGTGCAAAGTTACTTGAGGCCTATCTGTGCTAGATGTCTCTAATTTGGAAGTGATAGACTAGAGGTAAGAAAGCTAGTCAAAACCACTCATCACCAACTCTTGGGTTACTCTTTACCAATGAATAGTGGGATTGACCTTCATCTTATAATGTCCCCATAGCTGAAGGGACAAACATTTTCAGGGTCAGGACTTGAATGCATAACCCTCAGATTGTGAATCGAGTGCCCTAACTGCCATCCCTGACAGGTCAAGATCTCTAAAATTGTTTTCTCTTGAAAAAAAAAGAATTAAAGGGAATCAAACTACAGTGTTAAGGGAATTCTCATAGTGTTGATGCCTTATTTCCCAAAAAAGGGGGGAGGGGGGCAAAGGCCACCTGGAGGGGCTACTTGTTTTAACCTCTCACACCATGATACAATAGTGTTGTCTGTCTGTCAGTCAGTAGACATCACAAAAGGGACACTTTGCAATTTATACTGTCATGACGTCAGTAAAACGTGTGCATACCATGAATCATAAGAAGAATTATGCACTCTGTAGGATACAACACAGCATGACATACGAACTTGAAAAACAAGAAACAAAAATATTTGTTACTATTAATTTTGGTTTTATTTACTCTTGAAACAGAACACTTTCAAGGACCCCATAAAAGTACATCTAGTCTATTCTCATACTTAGTGGTCATAATGTTAGAACAAAGGGACACACATATTTTGGCAGGATGGGAGTCATCTACAGCTAAATCAGTTTTATTTTTCTAACAAAGTGGTTGACCTTTGGAATGGGTACCTTCATATAAAGTGGGTGTAGTAAATCTAAGGAAGTTAATGGGAAAGCTTAATAAGTATTTAGATGATAAAGACTGGCTTTGAAGGTGTCATTATTATTATTTTTAAAATCTTAGTGGATGGTGCAGCCTTGATGGACCAGCAGGCCCCTTGTTGTTCTTAAATCTTATAATAATATAATATTTGGATTATTTTAAACGTTTATGACTTTAAATTGCCAACATCCTATACTTAACATAAATAATATATTAGTACCACTAGTTTATAACTACAAATTGGAAAGGGGTAAATGTACATCTCATGCTTTTCAATTCAATTAAAACAACTGTTATCTACATAGTATGACTAAAAATAAAATACACAGTAGAAAACAATGTACATTAGGCCTAAATTGTATAATCAGTTTTTTTGGTTTCTTATAAATGTAATACTAATAATATTACAAAATACAGCCTACAGGGATGATTCTCTCATGTATTACTAATACATGCAATACATACTTAAAATGTAATATAATATTTCCAAGTGTACAAAACAAAATAAAAATTACAGTCCTAAGTTTACCTAGTATGTAGTATTTCATTGTTTCATATTTGCAACTCTTACGTCAGTGACGACCATTTATGTAGAACTCGATAATATTAAACTAATTCCGTCTCAAATCTTATAAATTCAAAATACTAAAATAATATTTACACTTTCAAAGCTTCAAAAACAGAATTATTGGCTCCAAACAGGAAATCTCTAAAATACAAACAGCGAAAGCTTTAAACTTTAAAGTTAAAAAACATCGGTAGGTTACTTAAGTTAATATTATAGTAATTACGTTTCGTTCACTGTTCCTAGTTTCCGCTCAAGATTTTTTAAATCTTAACTCTATGAATAAACATCCTCGTAATCAATCCTGAAATAAGTCCTGAAGACACTGTAGTGTTTATTAAACATTTAATATTATTAATGCCAAGCATTTTTTCTGTTTTACTGTTAGTAAAACTCGTTTGGTTAAGTTTCATAATCAAAATATAAACTCATGAATCTACCAAGTAGTAATAGCACACAATCTACTACTACTACAAGTCAACTATTTTTAGCTTTAGTTGCAAGATTGAACGTATATGTAGCAAACCTAGTTTAACTTGCAATAAAAAAAAACAATGTTCATTCATTAAGAAAAACTGTTTATTCTCATGGGATTACAAATTAGCACATAAAAAAGCTAGATAACCTATATTTATAAGTGCTTATTACATTTGTGATCTTATAGTTATATGCACAAAACCCCAAGTTTTACTTTGCATTGATACAAAGTTTCGAAAAAACATAATTATTCGTAAAGAAAAATATCGCCAAATATATTCCACGGAATTACAAACCAATAAATAAAAATATACCAAAGTTATTTTATTCAGGCTCCAAAAATAAGGTGAAGTTGGTACATTCAACGGAAGTGGTAGTAATCACTCTCACGCGTTTAAACCTTTTCTTCATGTACCTCTCAAGGACGCGTACTGGTACTTTTATCCTTTTCATTTCAATCCATAATGACATTGGGAGGTTGCTTTTAATTTTTAAGCTGCTAACCTGTCTTTACTACTATCATGATGTAACCACAGGGTCAGAAAATGAAAAAAAAACACAAATCTTAGTAGCTTCAGTAGATCGGTAAATTGCAAAAAAAAAACAACAAAAAACAATAAGGAAGCATATATCGTTAATAATAAACAAAAGTAACTATGTCGGTGTTTACGTCGTAAGGAAGTACCAGTGTACCACTACAGTTTTAGCCTTCCAACATGGGTTTTCCTAGTGTAAAGTTGACCACAAATTGTGCTCCTGTAAAAATACTTGTGCGGTTGAAAATTCACCTCTATTAGTAAGTTCGAGTGGATAATTATTTAAATAAAAACATATTTAAGATTATGAAATTCCATTCCAGAGTTGATAAGTAAATGTATTTACTAGAATAGTTTTTCATGTTTGGATCATTTGTTACTGGGCCTGTATATATGAAGTACAATAAATATAATTGTGCAATGGTTAAAATATAATTTTGCACTTGAAAAAAATCCTTAGGAAAAGCTCTGCTCTTCAATCTTGCCCCCCAGTGGCAAAGCGGTATGTCTGCGGACTTACAACGCTAGAGACCGGGTTTCGATACCGTGGTAGGTAGAGCACAGATAGCCCATTGTGTAGCTTTGTGCTTAACTTCAAACAAACAAACAAACAATCTTCGTCATTTCACCAGTCTGAAAAGAAAGCTCTTTCAAAATGTTCATTAAGCTTCTTTGCTCTAAATGTTGAGTATTAATTAACAGGGTACATAATCTTGACATGCTCGAAGATTGGTATCTCAAACCGGAATTTCTGTTTTATATCCCATATATACTGTTACGACAGTAGGGGTCACGTGACGCTAGTAACACGTCATATTCTCGAAAGTTCTTTAATCCTCGAGTGTTTACTAGATTTGCGGTATTCTTGTATGTATAAGACCGCCAAGAAGTGACGGCAACAATGTAATTGAACTGCAGACAGAGATAGAGACTGACAATTGAGTCGAGCGAGCACGTGAGTCGTTCGTTGTGAATTATAGCGTTTGTTATAGCGTGACTGTGGAAATTAAGTGTATTGCAAAGTTGTATTCAGAAAGAATAAACCAGTTTTATTTAAGAAAGGACTTGTATCGCTAAAGTTTCTTCGGAAAGAATTTTTACGGAAAATTAACTAACGACCAGAGACATAACAAATTGGTGTCAGAGAGTGGGACAAAAAAGAAGAAGAAGATGGAAACGAGAAGAGGCAAATCAAACTACAGCTCAGTAGATTTGATGGCAGCAATACAAGAACAAGAAAAGAAACAAGAAGAGAGACAAGAACAGTTGCAAGAAAACCTGCAACAGTCGCAGCTCGAACAGCAAAATAAACAAGAAAAGAAAGAAGAAGAACGAGAAAAGAAACAAGAAGAGAGATTACAGCAGCTGTTAGAGGAAAAAGAAAAGAAACAAGAAGAACGAGAAAAGAAACAAGAAGAGAGATTACAGCAGTTGTTGGAGGAAAAAGAAAAGAAACAAGAAAAGAAATTACAGCAGTGGTTGGAGGAAAAAGAAAGAAACAAGAAGAACGAAAAAATAAACAAGAAGAGAGATTACAGCAGTTGTTGGAGGAAAAAGAAAAAAACAAGAAGAGAAATTACAGCAGTGGTTGGAGAAAAACAAAAGAAACAAGAAGAACAAGAAAATAAGCAGGAAGAAAGTCTCCAACAGTTGCAGGAAAGTCAGCAGCAACTACAGGAAAGTCAACAATAGTGGCAAAAAGTACAAATTGAAAACATTAGTCAATTTCAAAGCGAATTAAATACATTAAAGGGTGATTTATTGTCTTTTACACAAGGAGGATACATTAACCATTGACTTAATCAGCCCCAGACAATGGCAAGCCCCTTCTAGACCCCGCTGCTAAACCCT